AAAAAAAAAAAAAAAAAAAAAAAAAAAAAAAAAACTAATACTCATAGGATACGAACACCACAAGAGAGTGAAACAAGAAGAAAAAAGGCAAATGAAAAATAAAATACTCCTTTTGCAATGGAACGAGCTAAAAAGCATTCTCTTCATCTATTTTTCATTATGATATATTAATTGCTTTGCCCCACGAGCATGGAGGCCATAGTAATTTCATGGTTTGTATTTATAACCCCTTAATTCTTCCTCTTCTTCATTGATTCTTTCATGAGATTTTAATATTCGTTTTTGCAGATCACAACTAGTCTTGAGCAGAGATTTTATAGGGAATTGAGAAATGAGCAATTGCACTCTGTTAAAGTCATCATATGTATCTACAGAAAGCTGTTATTTTCTTGTAAAGAGCAAATGTGAGTTCCTTATTTAATTTTGTAATGGCCCAAATATTTGAACATTAGTATCATTTTCCTGGATCTTTATAAGATGCCTATACACATGCATTACGAAAGCTAGATTTGATAGACTGGTTCAAGTTATACATGCTTACATCTCAGTCATATCAATGACTTTTTGAAGCAACTAAAACCTATTCATGAAATTGACATGAAATCAGCATTCGCACAAGTATTTAGGTATTTGTCTTTTGTATATGCTTATAAACATGCCCGGGTAACTTGTCTTTTTTGGAAGGCTTGTTAACCAGAGACTTCTAGATTACCTTGAGCTCTAGTCTTTAGGAATTACTTTGGTCCATGAATAAATGGTTGTACTTTGGTTACTCTTGAGTTTTTCATTTTGCATTACGTTGTATCCAATGCTACTTTTTAGACCTGGATTTGGACCAACTAGCCTTCTAATAGAATTGAGGTAGTCATCTCTTTGGGTTATAACGGCACTACCAATATTTATATGCAGGACAAGAGAACAATATTTATCTTGAATGATCACAAGGAAATTTAATTGAATTATTTTGATACCTGGCCCCCCTTTTTGTAGTATAGATAGATAATGGATGGAGTTATGCATGTGTAAATCTTTTGCATTTCTTAATGGCCTCGAGTGTCTATCTTGCACAGGTCTTCCTTGTAATTGAATTTCAAATCAAACCGTTGTGTAATTTCATTTATTTATGAAAATCTTGTGAAACATATGTAAAATGAAATTATATAGAAGTTCTATAAATCAATCATAACTTTTTAGCCATATGAAACTGTAAATTAAGTTACTGTTCTTCAGAATGAATTTTCTGGAAACCTTTTGCGATATATGGAGAATTCATGGCGGATAATAAGCATGCTTATTGATTTTTGATGTGTCCTAACCTTAAAATGTACTACTTACATGCATATGAAAGTTGTAATCGGCATACATAACTATTGCAGGCCTCTGTTTGCAAGTAGTTTGCTTGCCATCATCCACATTCTACTGGATCAAGCACGACATGATGAAATGCGAATTTTAGGATGCCAGGCTCTCTTTGATTTTGTTAATCAGCAGGTAAGGGTTCCCAGTATGGTATGCTTACTTTTTAGAATTTTGTTTGGTCTATTTTTGTAAGGGTTACCAGTATGGTATATTTTAGCTTTTTACACTATTTCTTTGAAAATGTTCTTTATATTTATGTGCATTTATACTATGTAGAGGGATAGCACCTATATGTTCAACTTAGATGGAATGATTCCCAAACTTTGCCTTCTAGCTCAAGAATTAGGAGAGGAAGGGAGAGAAAGACAGATGCGTTCTGCTAGCCTTCAAGCCCTCTCAGCTATGGTAATCTGCACTAAATTTGTTTGGATGTATTGCTACGTATTTTATCTTTATGCACCTACTTCATATGTTGGCCTTTCAATGTGTTAGTAAACCAAAAGATTTAGTTAACAGGCTTATATCAACACCACCTTTATTGATGATTTAATTTTTAATGTGTGGTACAAACCCCTGCTAAAACGAAACATTCAGTCTCTGGTTTTGATTCAATTGAGAAGACTTCAAGATATATTTAACGAGTTTCTTTTGTCTGGGTGCTTCTTCGGTACTTCTTTAATAAACACTAACTTCCTCCATTAAATCTAATTTAAAGAAATTACTAATAATACACAATCACTCTAACTAATAGAATATTGAAGTACTTGATTATCCAAAGCTAAAATATATACTAACAAAACACATAATCAGGGTTAGGAATATAGCATATCTGTTTGGATCAACTATCCCAAATTAAATTGAACTATAATTGCAACACTCTGTGGAAACACTGGAAATTCCAAGCTAGGTACTCGTGAATTGAATTTAAGCCCAAGTAAAGGTTGTGAGACCTGTCAAAGAGGCAAGTATATAAGGATGTATCTGGCAAGCTTGTTCCAGCCTTTACTCCTTCCAACTATGGTGTAAGAAGACCTAAATCTATTTTATTGAAGAGTCACTATGCTCAGAATGCGTGTGCTGCCGGTGGTTGATCATCTAAGTACATCCACTTCCAAATTTTAAAATGCCCATCACTTCGTCAGCAGTAGCTCACTTTTTAACAATTTTGAAACAGTGTGTTCATGTGCTTGTTTGGATGAAGCTCACAATCTGATGGGTAGGTAGTGGTGGTTAACTATTTCCTCGAGACCTGTTTGGGATACCTTGCTTTAGGAAAATCACTTTGGAAATATGGGTGCATTGGACAGAATGCTGCTGGTATAACGCCTCATTTCATTCCTCCATCAAACATTCTAATTTCTTACTGTTGTGGGCAAATATTACCACCCTTTTTTGGGTATGATAGAACCCTTCTGCCAACCCAACTGTAGTGAGCCCAACAAGAAGAGATGTTCAGTTCATCATTTCAAGACCCAGTATACTGGAAGTTGAGGCCTTATTGGCAGCAGTTCTTATTGAGTAGAGAGTAGTATTGGGACCATTTTTGGTGCTGCAAGAAGTGGGACGTGTTCTTATAGACTAGAACTCTCTTTGACATCCCAAATACACCAAATTATCAATGTGTTTGCGATTGTGCATGGTATTAGGGGATAATCCGAGTCCTTTTCGACCTCTCACCCCAACTCACAGAGAATATAAAGCTTCTATTGGAGTCCATGGTCAGGCATTATAACTATAGCTTAACTTTTTTAGATGGAGAGTTAGATTTCCCCATCCAAGGACAGGGGCAACAACCACAAGAATCAACATGAGGATTTTTCTCCATCCTCCTACAACAGTCTTTACTTTTCAGCTTGAGGAAAAGGTGCAAGTTTGGAATGCAAGTGCCACCTAACCAATTTATTTATTTGAGAAGGGGAAGGAATGCGAAGACTGATCTTGTAGCAATTGTAGTTAAATTGTAGAGTTAAAAATATAGTTAAATTGTAGCAATTGTAGCTTCAAATTTTTAAGTTCATTTCGTAATTTCTTCAAAATAGAGAAATGCAGTAGGGAAGTTAGAGACTGATTTTGCAACTCAAATTCTTTAGTATATTGGATGATAGAGTAGAAATATGATATTGAGAATGAAGCCCACAAACATTTCCTTTTATAAGGCCATACTTCTTAACTGACTTAAGCCATGAAAAGGACATTTTGGATTGGAAAAGATGCCTTGGACTCGTCTTTGGGTTTCATTAAAGAATGTAGTTGCGCGGACGAATTGTGCATCAGCAAAAACACAGCAACAACGAAATTCTTTAAGAAGATATAGTAGTGTGAAAGTGAAATTTTGGTTTGCAAAAATACCCTTTGAGGTCACCTCTCTGCTGTTGATCGAATAAATTGGCCAGACCAGAACAATTGAATATCATAACAAACACCTGCATAATTGAATACCATCACCTTCAATAGGGGGAGGGAGAGGCATTAAACTTGGATGCCCATTGTAAGAACATATTGTCAAGACACCGTGAGAACGTATTTCTTTATGATCATAGTGAGAATAGATTGTTGAGAATACCCAAAAACAAATTGTTGTCCTGAACTAAATTTTTCTGTCCAATATCTGCTCTTATCATGTGTATTTTAACTTTTAAATCGCATTTCTGAATATTTGCTTTCTTCTTAGTCTGGAAATAGTTTTCATATCCGAATGTTTCATCTGCAGGTTTGGTTTATGGGTGAATTTTCCAATATATCAGCAGAATTTGACAATGTAAGTTGCTTTGCATTTATCACATAATTATCATTTTCTCGCTCTATTTCCTGCCAATACCACAGCCCTTTTACCGTTGGCTACTTAAATCTTCCTCCATATTTATGCTCTGCTATGTCTTCCTTTGCAATTTTAAGATTAATATTAGCCGTCAAATTGAATGACCATGAGGAAGTATATGAATACTTTAGTGGTTATAGATTACATACAACCCCCTCCCTGTTCACCCCACTTTTTATGAAGGTTGATGCTGTAGATAATTTCCTTAGGGTTGTGGGTTGTGAGATGTATGTTGATCTCTGATTGATTTTCTTGTTTATCCAGATAATAACTTACTTTATTATTTTTTATTATGTTGATGGTATAAACTTTCGTCTTTTAGGTTATTTCTGTCGTGTTGGATAACTATGGAGACCTTAAGAGCACTTCCAATTCTTCAAATGGTGGGCAAGGTACTCAGGATGCAAATTCTGAAGTAGTTCTCCTTTCACACGAACAAATGGCAAGGTTTTCATCGTGGAGGATGATAGTAACTGAAAGGGGGGAATTGATTGTATCTCCGTAAGTTCTTCTCAGAACTACAATACTATGCTTGTATAAACTTTCCAAGTCTTATCATTCTTATATCTAACAGAGAAGACGCAAAGAATCCAGAATTTTGGGCAAGGGTTTGCCTACATAACATTGCTAAGTTGGCTAAGGAAGCTACAACCATACGGCGTGTCTTGGAATCTTTCTTCCGTTACTTTGATACTGGCAATCTTTGGTCTCCAAAACTTGGGCTTGGTCTTTCTGTGTTGATAGATATGCAATTAATAATGGAGAATTTGGGTATTGTTCCCTTTAAATTTTTTTTAAAAGTTAGAGCCTTGGAGTTCTAAATTACTTCTTCCTATATTTCTATAACTTTACCAGTGATTTTCATGAAGCTCATGTATTTTTTACAGGGCACAACTCACATTTCATGCTTGCAATTTTGATCAAGCACCTCGATCACAAGAATGTTCTACAAGATCCTACCATGCAGATTGACATTGTTAACATTGCCACCTCCCTTGCTCAGAAAACAAATGCCTCACCATCAGTAGCCATAATTGGTGCACTAAGTGATATGATGAGACATCTTCGAAAAAGTATACATTGCTCCCTTGATGATTCTAACTTGGGAGCCGAAGTTGTTGAGTGGAACCGAAAACACCAAGCATCAGTTGATGCATGCCTTGTGGAGTTGTCACTAAAGGTAATTTTGCTTTAATTTGTATTTCTCAGGATGCTCTTAATAATTTTGATGTGTGACTAATTTCATGGCATTACCTAGCTAGCAGTTTATATATGAAAGATTAGTTGTCAGGCTGTAGTTACCCATCAAACCGGTAACTTCAAATCCTTTACTGTTTTGGGGTTTATACCGGGAAATGTCTATTTAAAGCCAACGTTCTTCCGTTGTAACATTTATATGCCATACAGCTATAAAAATCACAGGTCGTTTCTGTTGACTTATGCATGCACACCATAAATGCCTGCAATTTAACTTAATTTCTTAAAAATCTTTCGAACTTCTTTACAATGTCGTGATGGATTTACTGTTGATTTTCCTGCAATGTTGTTTAGGTTGGAGATGCTGGTCTCATTCTAGACATGATGGCTGCAATGCTAGAAAACTTGTCGAATATTCCTGTAATGTCCAGAACATTAATTTCTACTGTCTACCGCACAGCTCAGATTGTGGCATCAATACCAAATCTTGTGTATCAAGATAAGGCAAGATCACCTGTTCTTTATCTTCTTCCCTAAATTCTGTGAGATTGTCGTACAATCGAAGTCTCCACCGTTTTTTTTCTTTACCCCTGCTACCCCAGCCGTTTTAGACTTAAAATGTTTTGCAGGCTTTTCCCGAGGCATTATTCCATCAATTACTACTGGCAATGGTCTGCTCAGATCATGAAACTAGAATTGGTGCTCACCGCATATTTTCCGTTGTTCTCGTTCCATCATCCGTCTGCCCACGTCCTCATGCTTCTGTTTCCTACTCCAAAAAGCCTACTTATATTCAAAGGACACTCTCAAGAACTGTGTCAGTGTTCTCCTCTTCAGCGGCACTTTTTCAGAAAGTAAAAGTTGAGCCTCATTCACAAGAGAACATGTTTCAAAAGATGGATGAAAAACCTTTAACTAAACAGGTTTCAAAAGTTGAAGGTGGCTCCATTTTAAACAGACTAAAGTCAAGTTACAGTCGGGTGTACACGGTAAAAAAGGATCCATCAATTTCAGCTATGGGTTCAGTTACAGAAGAAGGCCCAAAGATGAAAAATAATACTACGATGAACAGACTGAAGTCTAGTTACAGCCGAGCTTATAGTATAAACAAGCCTACTACACCTAGTACGGTTGCGGATGAGAAACCTTTGACAAGTTCAGAAAAGGAACAGGTATGTATTTTGTTTTTATTTTTATTTTTATTTTTATTTTTATTACACTAAATATTCTTCTTGTATTGTTTTATCATGGTCTAATATTATCATTTCCTTGACTTAAAACTTCAGACAACGTTCCTTAGGCTTAGCAGTCGCCAGATTACCAACCTTCTCTCATCATTATGGGCACAATCTATCTCTCCTCTCAATAAACCTGAAAACTTCGAAGCAATTGCTCATACTTATTGCCTTGTGTTGCTATTTGCACGGACTAAGGTAAAATTCGTTATTGTTTGTTTGATAATTATATTGAGTTAGTATATGTCTCACCTCATTTACCATGGAATTGAATCCACGTGAAAAAACTGGGACTGCCATACACTATACATTAGTAACTTACCTGTTCCACGTCAGCCAATGGAGGCAGTGGAATATGTCCGATTTGGGCATTCGCCTGTAAGCACTCTTTATGACCCAACCATATGTACAACACTTGATGGATATTTTTGGAGTATTTAGCATCTTGAAAGTTATGATGAAATGCTCCCATATGTACACTTGATGGACTGGGTTATACATTTTGGTCCACCATTTTAGGAGTAACAATAGAAGTTCCCACAGATTTAGACATATGCAATCTGATAGCAAATGGATCTAAGAGGCTCTTGGACTCGTTCAAGTGATAGATTGGGTTTGTGGAACCAATGGGTCATTTGAGTACTAAACTCACTAATTCTCTAGCTACCAAGCATAATGAAAAGCTGTTTAAATTTAGCTGATATAAAAAGTCAAAAAAATGGAGGATTTCTATGTAACAAAGGAATTTAGTTGAGCAATTCATTTTCAGTCCCTTGAGCTCCAACAATGCTACGGAAATATTTTTTTATAGTTTCTCATATTCTAAATTCATATAAGATCTCAGCTCAGATTATGACTTTGATGGTGAGAAATGAAATCCTTGGTTTAAATTTCTCTTAGGACTGGAACATGTTATATTGAAAACTCAGCTTATCTTATTGGTCTTTGGGAATTATTGTCAATTTGATACTTAATTATCTGTCCAGTACCAACATATGAATATCCTTTTATAATTTCATTATGATTTGCTGTGCTGATAGAACTCCAGTAACGAGACGCTTATTCGAAGTTTCCAGCTAGCATTTTCCTTGCGGAGCATTTCCCTTGCTGGAGGTAGAGAACCAGCTAAGCTTATTAAAATTATATTTCATTTCTACAGTTTCTGAAATCTTGCCACATTTATAATCCGAGACAAACATGAGCAAATTTGTGATGCCAGACCAGTTTTTTTGTTTTACATAGAAATTTTGTGGTAAACACTTGGAGTATAAGATGTTAGATTTTTCATCGCGTGTTCTTTTTACTTTAAGATCCTCTAATTGTTAATCGTCTTGATTTGAATCCAGAAAACTGACTCCATAAAAACCAAATGCAAACTAGATGCGGCATCCTTGCAGAAGAAATAAGACATTTCTTTGTCTTTTATCCAAAAATAATTTTTTTTTTTTTTTCCGTTGATTGATCTGATAAGTTATTTATTATGATGGAAAGATATTTTTCTTCACTAGTCATATGACCACTTTGAGTGAGCACCCAATAGGCCATCTCTACAACTAAAAGTGACTTTGACAAATTGCAGGGCAATTGCAACCATCACGTCGGAGGTCACTTTTTACTTTGGCAACGTCGATGATCATCTTCACGGCGAAAGCCTACAACATCGTGCCACTTGCCCCTCGTGCTAAAGTTGCCCTTACAAGTGAAGTAGTATGTGCAAAAAAATTATTTCATGGTTGTGACACGTAGCACTAATGTGTCTACTGCGTGGAACATGGATTTCAAAGAAAGTTGAGATTTTAGATTTCATGAGTAAAGTTCTTCTACTGATCTTTTACTTTTAACAGGTAGATCCATTTCTCCAGTTGGTTGAGGATTGCAAGTTACAAGTTGCCAAAACAGGACAAGGCCATCCCAGACCAGTTTATGGATCTAAGGAAGACAATGAACATGCTTTGAAGTCACTTTCAGTTGTCGATACAAGTGATAGCCAATCTAAAGAGTCATTTGCTAGGCTAATTTTGCAGACATTGCAAAGTCTGTCAGATGTAAGTTTATTTTATTCCTTTTTTTTTTTACTGCAAAGAAGCATTGTTTTAGTATCCCACAAAATTAATTGTTATAATTTCCATTTCTAGTTGATATAACAAATTGTTGTGTTCTTTAAAGCAGAAGAAGTTAAGTGCTATCAGAGAGCAGTTGCTTCAAGATTTCCTGCCAGATGATACTTGCCCATTAGGAACTCAGTTTTTTGTCACACCAGGAGAAATTTATCAATGTGGATCTAAGAACGACGGAACTTCAAACACGGTTTGCACTCTATTCATCTCATGTGTCTACGATTTTGAACTGTTTTCAAATTGTGCACCTTCTCTTTACATTTTGGTACATTTTGTAGGCTGATCCCTTATTATCTATTAATGACAATCCATGCGATGAACCTCAAAGTCAAAATGATGTTGAGACAGAGAAGGCCCCAGAAGGTCCAACTGTCATGAGTGCTGATGAACTCTTGAATTTGGTACGTTGCTAAGCTTTGCACATGAGCTCATATGAACTATGTGATGAATGTTCACAAAGACGTCAAAATTCTGGCATCTATTTCCTCTCAAAGTGCATTAAAATTTAAGCAGATACAAACTACAAAATTCTGGCATCTATTTCCAACGTTTTCTGAAGCGATTGATGTTGGCAGAAGTATAAGCATGAGTAGGAAGATTTTTTTTTCCCCTAACCTATTTTTTCTACATTGCTTCATCTTGAAAAATGACTATGGAAGTTCTTGCTATTAGTTATCACCGTTGTTCTATCTATGTATCTTGCCTATTGACAATCTATTATGCAGATTTCCGACATAACAAATCAAGTAGGAAGGGTATCAGGCTCCTTACCGACAAATATGCCTTACAAGGAAATGGCTGGGAATTGTGAAGCTCTTTCAGAAGAAAATCAGCATAAGATATCCAATTTCATTACCTCTGCACCAGCTAAAGAAGGTTCGGTGGGAAATTTCAATCATAATGATGAAAATCCAAGAAAAGAGGAGACTTCGCAACGCGTTCACTTCGCTGTACATAAGGTACGTTGTCTATCATATAGTTAGCTTCAGATCAAATAATTCTTGACTGAAATTGAGATCCTATTATTATCTTGGTGAGTATTTTGGAATGAGCATCTGCCTGCTTTCATAGACTGACATGAGCTCATATATGCATAAGTATGTCCACGTGCTATTGTGGCTATCCCTTTACTGTAAAATCTGACTTCGCAAGTGCATTTGAATGCAGAGCGGCAACCCATTTGTTGACTCAGATTCTTCGACACACTGGAGTTCGTCCATTGATACTTATCCAACAGTCTGTACAACTGAGAACCAATATAATCCCCACCTCATTCAACTACCAGCGTCGAACCCATATGACAACTTCCTAAAGGCAGCTGGTTGTTAGGCCATGGAATGGTCATTTCTTGGTGCCAGTGATAATTGGCTATATATATAAATTTAAAGGTGAGCAAGCAAAACTGCTGAGGTCTGCCTTCGGCACCGGGCATCGGCCTGCTGCTCGAGTCAAACATTAGGACAAGTTCTTGCCATCGTTTTTGAATATCTTGATTTGACTCATTCATGCCATTTTCTTGAGGGCAGGTAATTCCTTTTCCTTTCTCCAGCTTCAGGTTTGTGTTGGTGAACGCATTCATTGGTGGTGCCCTTGGATATGTATGATAGATAGGTTGTTAGATGGGGGGAGGGGTATGCATGTTGGACTGATACTAGTAAGTGATAAAAGGGGTGATTATTGGAGATTTGGCTAGCAGTATATATATATATATATATATATATATATATATATATATATATATATATATGTAACAATCATCTTGTATTTACGGCTGTAATTATCTACTTTTGAACAGTTTGCAGCTTTTCATCATTCTAGGCTATATTAGTGGGCTTACCTTATGGAACTTGCACTCATTGCTTATGTATGTAATAGTGTACTAATTGAATACCATGTTCTTGTTCTTGGATTTGGATCTTGTTCTTAAGCACCAGCTGAAACTTTTGTTTCATTCAATGCCTCTTGATAAATTCCATCCAAACCAGCAATCAGCTTCGAAGTCTAAACCCTCTTTTGGAATTGGGATTCAAAAGAAACTTGGGCATTTATTACTTAGACCATATTCGCAATTTATTTACATACGCGAACAAATAAAAATTTTGAAGGCGTAAATTTTGCAATTGTGGCCTTTTGGCTCTTCCAATATCAATAGGTTGATTGTTTCTCTCCCTGTATCTTTCAAAAGGAAAAAAGATCTCTGAGAGCTGTTTCTTGGATCCGAAAGAGAGTACTTGGGTTCTCCCACTAACTAAAAAGTGTATCATGCCTGAACCTAACTGGATCGGAAAAAAGAGCATATCCAAATTATAAGAAAACCCACGGACGAATCCAAGAAAGGGTCTGACGAAAGACCATCAAACAATTCAAAAATAGGTCGGGTGATGATTTGAATCTCTTCCGAGTAATTTTAAAAAGTGGGTTTAGACTTCAAAGGCTCAAAGGGTTCTCATGTCTTACACAATTTTCTTATCTATACTCTCCCCTGTAATTTTGAAAGGAAAAAATAAAATAAAATTTAGTCCGTATGATATAAAATATTAAAATAAGTCTAACGAATAATAATTATTATTAAAGCAACAGCATTGTCTATTTTGAAATATAGTAATCTTTTTATATAAAAAATTTGAATGCCAGTTTAAATTTTTTAAGTAATTCCCTTTTTACCCTATTGTGTATCAGATATATTTATGAATGATAAAAATTTATTAGATCAAGTTTATTTCTAATTTGCTATTAAGTACATCAATTTATTACATAAATAGAATAAATAGATTACTTACGTCTATAATTGATATATTATATCACTTGATATTAATTTTTGTTTTTTATTAGTAATTGTTTGCTTAGCTCGGTAGACATTTTTATAAGTATGATTAATTTATGCCTCTCAATCTATATTTAAAGTCTATAAAAGTAACGACGTGTTAGCTAAGTCATGGATCCAATTTTGAATTTTAGTCATGGACCCAGTTTTGAATTTTAGAATTTTGACGTTTTGCTTCCACTTGTATTTGTTTCGACTGGTTCAAGTCTAAAAAGTCGAGTTGTTATAAAAAAAAATTATAGATTTTAAACTTTTGAAGGAAAAAGTATAAAACATTAAAATAAGAACCATATAATATTGGCATAATTTATTTAAAAAAACAGATAACAAAAATTGTTTAAAAGAATTTGAACAAATAATAAAAATATAAACCACGTCATTCTTATTTTTAAAAGTAAATTATTATAGAAACTTGAACTACATAGTTATATTAAAAAGAAATTACATAAAAGTGTGAAAATAAGAGAACAAAAAGGTCTTATTCTGCTCGTGTCATAATGAAAAGAGGAACCAAAGAACTTAGAGTTTAGCTCTTACTTTCTCAATGAGTTCTCTCCTCAGGATTTTCCCAGAAACTGACTTGGGGACACTGTTGATGAATGTCACTCTTCTTAACCTTTTGTAAGGAGAAACCTGTTGCAGGAGAAACACACAAGTTTCATTCCTGATGCATATCGAGCAATCTATCCGTGCTGCTGAAATTAACCGAACTTTCTTCTTAAGTGCCTTACCTGATCGGCCACGAATTTGAGGACGTCCTCTTCGGTCATAGAACTATTGGTAGATCGCACGACATATGCGATTGGAACTTCTCCAGCTTCATCGTCGGGGTAGCTGTTGATTCGGTTTTCATCGAATCAGTTACAAAGGAGTGAATGTCGAAAGTTCAAACACGAGTAAGGAGTTTCATGAACGCTTACGGGATGACAACAGCATCTAGTATCTCAGGGTGAGAGACCAACAGTGCTTCAAGCTCGGCTGGTGCAACCTGGAGATTCAGTAACAAAATTTGAGAGAGGAGGACAGCTTAAGAATTTGATTTGAACTCAAAACAGCACTTGCTCGTACAAGGACGACCGATATAGCACGATATCATTGGTAAGAAGTTACTGGATGCTAATGTTTCGACATAGTTCCAAAAGCTGAAAGCTAAAACTGCTGAGATTAGAGCTAAATATTACTAGATAAACAGATATGTACCTGAAAACCTTTGTACTTGATGAGTTCCTTAATTCTGTCGACAACATAAAGCTGACCATTTTCATCGAAGTATCCAAGGTCTCCAGTATGCACCCAGCCATATTTGTCAATAGTTTGCTTGGTGGCCTGTGGATTGTTTAAGTAACCTGCACATCATTTCAAAATTGAATTCGAAAACCGACTTGAATGTTAGGTACTAATAGTAACTCCCAACACACTAAAGATCACATTAACTCAGATCGTATTCGATTACGAAACAAAAACATTCTCTCCAAAGTATTGTATGAAAACCATAAATCAAGAGAAAGATAACCATATCTATATACCAAGCATCATATTCGGTCCCCGAACCAGTATCTCTCCATATTGATTAGGAGGAAGAGGCTTCAAAGTATCTACGCTGACTATTTGAGCCTCAACACCAGAGGCAAGTGTTCCAGCCGAACCCGTATTTCGTTTGCCAACTGTTCGATTCTCCAAAGAAACAACTCCACAAGTCTCAGTCATACCATAACCCTGAGAATAGCAATGAATTCAAGTTATTGCATTATAATCTTATAATCCACCTCTACAAGGTTATAAATCAAAGCCAAATGAAGTGAAAACATTTAGAAGTTCCATTCAGAATTTAGAGTTGCCGATAGTCAGGATGAATGTATATGACTTTTAGAATAGGAAAAGCATTTTTAACCAAATGAAGTAACTTTTAAAAATTTCATGGTTTTTATTGCATGACCATAGATTTTGAGAATTCTATAAACACTTAGGGTCGGTATGTCTTTTGTAACGACGAAAGCTGATTTTACCAGTGTTCGGTAACCTAGTTAAAACTTCTTTTGAAATTGCTAAGATTACTTAAATAGTGTTTTTCTATCTTCAAAAGTCACAGGTCATCTCTAACACATACATAAAAGTACTTTTTGGAGGCATTTAAAAGAAAAGTGTTTCACTACTGTTCTAAGTTCTAATTGTCCCAACTCCTCTGCATTTCAAACTCTGTTGGTTCTAAGTGAAAATATCATTTGATGTTCTTGATATAAGAAAGTGAAAGAATGAAAAAGCATCCAATAGATTATAGTAAAACATAATTATAGAACACAAACAGCCTACTACAGGGTACCTGGAGAACCACAGCACTGGGAATGTTGTTAGCACATTCATCCATTAATTCCTTCCCAAGAGGTGCAGCCCCTGAACCGATATGCTTCAGGGATGAAAGGTTGTATTTCTTTACCACACTTTGCTTTGCCAAAGCAAGCACAACAGGCGGCACAACCCACAGATCTGTCACCTTGTACTTCTCCACTGCCCACAGGGCCTTCTCCAGGTTAAACTTTGGCATAGAGACAATGGTGTTTCCTCTCTGCAGCTGCGCACATGTTATACAAACCAATCCAAACACATGAAACATCGGCAAAAAGTTCAGATATGTGCCATTTTCGTCTCCATTAGTCTTCTGATCCAATGTTATCATCAGTGAAGATGTTATGAAGTTTCTGTGAGTCAGAATCACACCCTTACTGGCTCCTGTTGTTCCTGATGAATACAGAAGAGCAGCTGTATCACTCTGCTTCACCCCAACAATTGGGAATTCGGAGCCAGATTTATCGCCAGCCATGTTTATCAAATCATTGAAACATAAAATTTTGGAGGACTGGATTTCCGAAGGAATTTGCTGGTCTAGTAACACTGTTGGGATGTTTAGATCCTTCACTTTGTCCCACAATTCAACAACAGATATCATAAGTTTGGGCTTAGCATCTCTAACTTGCTTGGTTAACTCAGAGACCATGTAAACAGGATTACAAGTGGTGACAATAGCCCCAATAGCAACAATTCCAATGAAACAAATGGAGAATTCAACAGAATTTGGAGCAAAAATCATCACCACGTCGTTTTTCTCAATACCCAATTGGAGCAAACCATTGGAGATCTTAATTGCAGAGGCTTTAAGCTGGGAATACGACACGGAATCAGAAGATTCCGCATCAACTATGGCGAGTCTGTTTGGATAAGACGATGAGTTTCGGAAAAGAAAAGAGGCCACCGACAAATTGGGATCTCTGGGAAAGACGATCGGAGGCCGTAAGGACCTGAAAATTCCATCGCGACCATATCCAGATTTCTCCATTGAAGGAATCAAAATCACAGACGCAATTGCAAAGAGGTTTCAGATAAAGAAGTTGCACACAACCCGAAGCGGATTGGAGGGGAAATTTACTATCAATATTTAAATAGAGAACGTAAGAGTCCGAGTACAAAAGAAGACAAGCAATTTAGAAGATACGATAAAACAGATTCAATTGCTTCGCAACGGAAAAAACGTAAGTAGACTTCTATTAAGAGTGAGGAGACCACCTCAGTGTATGGTTGTTTGCTGCATTAGGTAGGAAGAAAAAATGGCCACCATTAATGGCTGGAAGTGCGTAGAATTTGGGTCTTCGTCTTCAACCTTGACTCGGAAAGCGAAGGAGATTTAAATTTTTTAGATTCTGAAATCGTGAAAAAAAAATGTGAGTTTCCTCGAAAGCAAGGAAAAATGGGTTCATCCTTAAATATTGGATCATATTGTTGTCAGCATAAGCTCTCTCCCTTTCCTTTGGGCTTTCACAAAAGACATCTCCGGAGAGTATTCTTTTTTATTATAAATTCAGGATCATTCTCTAAATTAGTATTTCATTATTCAACACCTTTTCTCGAATGATACCATATTAGACGAATACGACTCTTTACAATGGTATGATATTGTCCACTTTGAGCATAAGCTCTCATGTCTTTGCTTTAGGCTTCCCGAAAAGGCCTCATACCAATGGAAAATGGAGAGAGTGATCATGGGTATTCCCTAAATTAGCGGATCATTGGTATTTTTTCTTTTGGAGTCATTTATTCGACATTTGAATATTTTTAGGGAAGGGTCATGAGTTTATAATCAATTAATACTATCCTTATTGTTACGAGGCTCATACAGAGGTCTAAATCAAAGCCATGAGAGCTTATACTCAAAGTGGACAATATCATACCATTTTGGAGAGTCGTGTTCATCTAACCTAGATAATATCTTCAAATTTAAAAAAAAAAAAAATCTAAAAAATATCTTAGCGGTAAATAGTTAATATTTTATATAAAATAAAATTATTTTAAAAATATACTTGAATTTTAAAAAATTTCATTAATACACCTCAAAAATATCTTTAAACTTTTCTTCAAAATAAAAAATAAAAAATATATTATCATTATTACCATATTTAAAAAGTATTCACGAACTTCTCGTCACGTTATTTTTTTTTTTAAATGGAGCAATATTAATTTTAAAAAATATTTTAAAAACACGTCAAAGGTAAACAATATTTTAAAAATTAAAGTAGTAACTTTTTATCCCAAATTTATTTTTTTAGATTTTTTAAAAAAATTTAAAGATATTATTAAAAATTTAGAAATTTTAAAGAATATTTTGACATTTTTATTAATTTATGCTTATTCTATATATTTTTAAAAAATCCAATTACTGTTTTAATTTCTAATTCTGCCGTCCGCCCCATCCAAACGCTTCGCATATCCGAGTGATAGCACGGAGAACCAGAGTGGGCTCTGAAAAGGTAAGCAAAACCAATCAAATCCTCCATGGCTTCCTTATCAATGGCTACCATTTTACCCCGTCTATCTCGTTTGGGGTTTGCGTCGAGATTTTCTTTAAACCCATTGTTTATGCTCCCCAAAAGTAGTAGAATCGAGGTTCAGATCACCTGTTTTTTGCTGCTCTTTTCTTGGCCAAATGACCTACCCTTTCACTACCTTCCTTATTGAGTTCTTAAAATTGGTTTTTCTTGTAGAGATTGAATCGATTGAGACCCTTTTCGATGGCTTCGGTTCCTAAAGAATCTCCCGCAAACAATCCGGGACTTCACGCAACCCCCGACGATGCCACTAAAGGTTACATCATGCAACAGACTGTAAGATTGCTTCCGATTTTTCTATAATACCCATTTATGTGTTCAATATCCGGTTAATTTTGAATTTGGGCCTTCTATAAATTACTCAAACTTGATTCCCTTCTATAAAATGCTCGCAGATGTTCCGGATTAAGGATCCTAAAGCCAGTCTTGACTTCTATTCTCGAGTTCTGGGCATGTCGTAAGTTTTTTTTTCATGTATTTCTTGTTTTAGATGATTGTAAAATGAATGTCTGAATCTTCTGTGGAAATTTTTTGAGAGTATTATAAGTGAGCGTTTTGGTCTTCTGAGTACTTGAAGTTGTATTAAGTTCTGAGTATGAAATGATTTCGATTGAACCTGTGCAATTCCGGTCAAATAAATGCGACCCCAGAAATTAATACACTGTTTTTAACAATGGTAGATTACTCAAGAGGCTGGATTTTCCTGAAATGAAGTTTAGCTTATACTTCTTGGGTTATGAGGTAATCTTTGTTAGCTATAATGATCTAGGAGTATTTATAACAGCTTTTTGATGTCGCTGTACTTTGATATGTATGTATAGGCAGATAGTTGCATTCTATACACAAAATCTAGATTTCATTACATCTCAGTTTCATATCTAGAACATTTTGATATGGTGCTTTAGGATGTTGCTTCTGCCCCAGACAACGCAGTTGATAGAACGGTCTGGACTTTTGGTCGGAAGGCTACAATTGAGTTAACACAGTGAGACTATGCTTTCTATTTGGAGCTTTTCATTTTGGCGTCTTTCGAAGTGTGTCTTTTTCGATTAAAATTTGACAGTCACAATCTTCTTTCAGCAACTGGGGTACTGAAAGTGACCCTGAATTTAAAGGATATCATAATGGGAACTCGGATCCTCGTGGCTTTGGTATGTAACTTCCTTCCGACGCTTCTTTTCTTGCTAACTTCATTGTTTTTTTTGTTCTTATAATAAAATGAAGTAGACCTACTGATGCAAGAGGAATGCATTTGGCAAGGAAATTTGTAACCGTCCAAGTGGTGCCCTTTTGGGCTTTCCCCTCAAGGTTTTTAAAACGCGTCTACAAGGGAGAGGTTTCCATGCTCTCACAAGGAATGTTTCGTTCTCCTCTCCAACCAATGTGGGATCTCATAATTCATCCCTCTTAGGAGCCAGTGTCCTCGCTGGCACACCGCCCGGTGTCTGGCTCTGATACCATTTGTAACAGCCCAAGCCCACCACTAGCAGATATTGTCTTCTTTGGGTTTTTTCTTCCGGGTTTCTCCTCAAAATTTTTAAAACGCGTATACTAGGGAGAGGTTTTCACACTCTTACAAGGAATACTTCATTCCCCTCTCCAACCGATGTGGGATCTCTTTTAATCTTGTTAGAGGTATTAAGACTGCTTAAAGCTACTGTCCAGACGAAGAATTTGGTCCTTTTGGGATTAAGACCTTCCCAAATCAGCAAAAGACTCACCTCTAGGATAGTTCTCTATGCAAGACTTTGAAGGCAAACCTTAGCAATTAAATAGATTTCACTTGATAAAACTTAATTTCGTATAGGAAGATGTAAAAGTAATGTTTAATTTGCGAGCCTCTCTCGCCATGTCTTCCGCTCGGTACTGCTGTTGAGTCTTCAAACCTATTATTCTCCTAGGATTCCTGAATTTCCATGGGTTTCGTGGCATAATTTATAGCATGCTTGATCTTATTTCATTGGTAGAAAATGTTCACAAACATTTGAATTTGCTTAAATTTTTAAATAAGATAAACACATAAGCGATTATATTTGAAGACAGCTACGATCAACTCCTTGTTGTGTTCGTGCCATAATTTTTCCGAATATGATAGGTTGTAATGTCATTGTTGTACCAAGTTTCTGTCTGTTTTTCTTAAGTAGTTTTATTTTTGCCATATATTTAAAGTGACTCAGTGAGCTACAAGTCTAAATGTTTTATGCTGTAGAACTTTACACAGAATACATGGTTATAAGCTACACGTTACGATCTCGTATACCTAGATTTTGTTTCTTCTGACTTATCCTCTATTTTTCTTTTCAGGACACATTGGTATAACTGTTGATGACACGTATAAGGCGTGCGAGAGATTTGAACGCCTAGGAGTGGAATTTGTTAAAAAACCAGATGACGGTAAGGGAGCTCATAGTCGAACGCTGTCAAAATGATAGTAATTTTGAGATCGCTAACACCCCAAATGATAACCTGTCTTTTATATTATTTCTTTTCCAATTTATTGTAGGCAAGATGAAAGGTATTGCATTTATAAAGGATCCTGATGGCTACTGGATTGAAATCTTCGACCTCAAACTCATCGGAAACGTGACTACTAATGCTGCTTGAGATCATATGAACAAGTTTACGGTAAGTTAAGGGCGCGTTATCTTGCTTAAACTCCGTGCATTTCTAGACCAAATAGATTTTAGGTACCATGACGTTGGTTTTGTTATTAGAAGCATGCAAATGGATATGCAAGTGAATGAAATGAACACACAGGAGTTGGCTAGAGTAATTTGGTATAATCCTTTGTGTTGAAGTCATGAACTTATTACTATTATCATTTTTCTTTTGAAGGGACTGTTTTCTTCGATGCAGTACGATCTATGGTTGACGTGTTTCGTTTCTGGTTTCTGGTTTCTCGGTCGGGCAAACTTTAGTCACATTCTTGCCCTGTTGGAAAGAATATACTGAACTTTGATCTATATGTTTACATGAACTGGTATTTGTTCTAAAGCAAATTCTGAGGCTTTTATTCTCACCTTTTGATTCCAATATGTTTACATGAACTGTTTTGATTTGTGGATAAGGGAAAGGGAAGTTAAATTTGAGAGTTCTTTTGGGAGTGCTTCCCAATGGGGATTTGCCTGTCACCTCCATAAAATAGATGGCTATTTTCGTCTTTTTCCTCTCTCTTTTTGTTTTTTTCTTCCATTTTTTTAAAAAAATTTATTTAAAAAAGAATAAAAAAAAATATATTTCGAACATTTGAACAAGTCGGTGTAAAAATTGTATTCGTGGATCATTCAAATGTATAGTCAAGGCTCGGGCCGTGTTTTGAGAGAAAGTCAATTGCATTGAAGATATGTAGGCAAGAGATATTACAATACTTAGTCGGGGGAAGCCATATAGTACATTTCTAGACAATTTATGTCTAGTAGGGTTTAACATGACACGTGGCCATATGCAACACGTTCTAAACAAGCATGATCGTGACACCAACCACTCTAAAAAAAACATAACAACTAAATATCAACCATACCCATTACTCATATTCGTTTGGTGTGGCCGTGAATCAGTGGCAACAAATTATATAGCCTCTCATTCAAACATTTTAGTATGGGTCATAAATACTTTATGATCTCTAAACTTTCATACCCATAACAATCTAAAACTTTAATCATTAAAATTTAATACGAACAATTTAGTCGACATGTCACGAAATCTAAGATCGTTCAAAGAGTAAATGATATTATGATACGGACCCTAGAGAACGTTATTCTTGGGAACGAGATCGAGATGAAGATCGAGTTTAGAGTTAAAAACAAAAGGAAGCAAAAGGGTGAATGAATTGAAAAGGTCAAAAGCATCCCATCAAGTTCTTGAAAGTGTAGTGATTTTGCAGGCCCTGAAATGTCTCTTCAATAGGCTCCATAGCTCCACCAGTCGCCTATAAAACATCATGGCCCTCAAACCAATTTTGACACCAAAATACAATACTTTTAATTAAGAACAACAACAACAACACCACTTCTAGTTTTCATCAAACACTATAGCTTTGAATTTTGAATCAAACTGCATCCGATAAGACCGTACCACAATTTCACATCATTAATTTCCCTTCATTAACAAACAAACTCCACAAAATCGAAGCAACCCTTCCTTTAAACATCCTCTTAATTCACTAGAACTTCATGAAATTTCCCTCCATGCATTGGAACAAGCTGGTGGTGCTATGAACATGATCATCATCTCCTCCTCCTCCTCCTCCATTGAAGCATATGTTGTTATGTTCTTCATCATTCATAGCATCATAATAATAATTGTAATTATGGGTTTGATTCTGAAACCCCATCATCATGATTCTTGAAGTGTTGTTGATTTGAGTGCAGCTTCTTCCATCTAGGGTTTGATTATGCTGAAACATCAAGGAGCTCAACAAGCTGTTCATGTTGGATTCTTGTGTCGGGACAAGACAAGGGCTAATGTTGTCGATGTTGTCGTTGTCGTTGTCGTTGTTGTTTGACCAATTTGATGGGATTGAACTGAGTGGTTGAGCTGGAAATGATGAAACTTGATGATCATTATGATGAGAAGAATATGGCATTGTAGTAGGAGGGATGATTTGAGGGTGTTTCTCCATTCCTATAAGTTTCTTCTTCAATTTGCTATTCCAATGATTTTTGATATCGTTATCCGTTCTTCCCGGTAACTGAGTAGCAATTATCGACCACCTACGAGTTTCTTTAGTTAAATCCAAACCCTAAACAAGATTCGAAAAATCACCGCTCGACTTAAAAGCTTAACGAAAAATGCATGCAAAGAAATTACCTGCTTCCAATAGTGGAAAATAGGGTACAAATTATTCTATCTTCTTCCTCAGTGAAGCCTCCATGCTTAATGTTGGGCCTCAAATAGTTAAGCCATCTCAACCTACAACTCTTTCCACATCTCTTCAAACCTTCAAATACCCACAAACAAAAAGAGAAAACCCATCAAGAAAAACACAAAAAAACACTCAAAAACCCCACTTAGAGATTGAAAACCCTAAAAAAACCCTAAAAAAAAACCCTAAAAAACCCTAAAAAAAACCCTAAAAAAGTGATTTTTTTTTTTTTTTTACCAGCTTTTTGAGGGAGGGAGATCCAATTGCCACCAGTGCCATGGTTGTGAATGTAAGCCTTGAGCTTGGCATCCTCCTCAGGGGACCAAGGGCCCTTCTTCACATTGGCCTTATCACAACAAGGGGATCTTCCCATGTCTGTGTGGAAGTGGTGGATGAGAAGGAGAAGTGTTTTGAAGTGCTTTAGTGTGTAATAATAGGTAGGGAGAGAGATGGAAAGATGGTTTATAAAGAGCTCAAAAGTGAAACAGTAAGTGGAAAATGAAAGACAAAGCTTGAAACAGTTCTCCAAGTCCTATGGGAGCAAGCTACCTAGACTGTCCCAACTTCCCTTCCCTTCCCTTCTCTTCTTCTTGTGCTTATATATATCAAATTTGGCAGCCTTAAGTACACCAAACCCTTACTCTTTATCACACTCTTTTCCCCCACCTCTCTTCTATCTCAAAAGCATCCAAAGTCTCTAGGCTTTAAAGAACCAAACTAATAATGAAGAGAAACGTCGTCACTATCTCCGTTAGTATGAACCTTTTTAAGGAAACTAAAAGCAAAGTCACGAGAGTATATGTCCAAAGTGGACAATATCATATTATTGTAAAGCTTCGTGATTTCTAACGCATGTACACAGAATTTGACCACCATAAATATTTGTATCTATGCATTTCTTCATTAAAAAAAAAAAAAAAAATTCGTGTCTAATATATTCGTATCTGGGTATGAAATTGGAGTAGTCAACGTAGGTCTTGAGAAAGAAATGAGGAGATTTTAAGAGATTAAACGTTTTTTTTTTCAAAAGTTACTGATTGACAACGTCTATGAGTAAAACCCTTGTGGGACTTAAAAGGCTAGAATTATTCTTTAGAGGTTACATTAATTAGGTGTGATGAATGTGAACCTTAAAAAACGAAAAACCCTAATTAGTGAAGATAAGGTCTCTCGAGTCAATATTTTTTAAGGTAGAATTAAGAAGAGACATGATTCGATAAATGGATTAAGTCTAAAAAAATACCCTAAAGAAGAAAGCACTTGAAAATGAAGTGATAGAAAAATAGAAAACCTAACACATAAATGCGCCTAAACCTAACCACTAAATCAAAGCACCAAAGCATTGGAACTCCACACCAAAACGTGTCACAACTAGGAACCTATTACCTATATATATATATATATATATATATATATATATATATATATATATATATATATATATTATATTTGTTTTTACCCACAAGAATGTTTTCTTTAATATTGGGAATCATTTTTTAAAATTGGGATTATTTTCTTCCTTTTTAACAATAATTTTCTATTTTTTGTTTTTTTTTTTTACAAACTAATTATACAAATTGTTATGACCTCACACTAAATACATTTTATTATGTTAATGCAAAATTTCATTCTTTATAAAAGTGTGGAAATCTCTCTTTAATATACGAGTTTTAAAAATCATGAGATTGACGACGATATGTAACGAGTCAAATCGGACAATATTTGCTAGTGGTGGACTTAAACTATTACAGATTGAGCTACTAAGAAAAAAAAATGTATTCTTGGTACAAACAGTAGCCGGGGGCGGATCGAATCAGAGTTTCCTTAGGTAGCCACCGACCTACAGTTATCCTTAAACTTCCGTGTTATACACACCCACAAGAACTCCCATCATTCGAATGGGTATGGGTTCGTGGAGTATATTTTGATATAGTATTTTGTGAAGCACATTGAAATGATAATAATAATAATAACCCTACAATGATATGGTGGTGAAGTGATATGACCCATGAAAATATAGGCCATTTTGTGACACATCCAAGCTAAAAAACAGTGCCCTAAAGTGCAACCCCAAATCCCCAATTGCCTTGAAAAAAAAAAAAAAAAAAAAAAAAAAAAAAAAAAAAAAAAA